AGTAATAGCATGAAAGTCATGTATGGCTAAACCTCTTAGTATCGGTATGTAATTACGATCGGTCGGAATGGGTTAAGTAAATCATGATGTGAATTTAACAGATCTATTCTTCTAGTCTCATTTTCTTTTAATAACTTAATAACTTTTGTTACGAGAGTAAAAAGGTAACGAAGGTTAAGATCAATAACGCGAGAGTTTGAGGTCTTAACCGGATAGCTGAAACTGAACATTAGTCTTAAATACAGCGAGAGCGCTTTAAGGTTAATTAGGATTTACTTATTTTCAAAAAGTATTTTTAAATACAAATGAGAGAGCGAGAGCTTTCATTCTGATTTGACAGTATAGTCTAAGTCAATAAACACGAGAGTGTGAGATAAAGTCTTTTAAATGAGTATTTTCTAAAGAATAACAAGTTTTCCTTTTAAACTAAACGTCCATGAATTACTGAACCCCCGATGATTGATAGGATTATATACTAATATTTCGCATTATCTTGATTTAATTTATATTTCATTCTGCACTTATTTTCTTACTTGCATCCCAAATTTAGAAATTCATTAGCCTTAGATTTACGTAGTAGCATTAGATAGCGGTAGATCAATTCTTGGTCCTTTGGGTTCGATAATCTTTAAAACTACGCGATCAGACTGTGCACTTGTAGTCACGAAGCATTTAGGCATACTAAATAGCGATCATGTGCTCTTGGGGTCATTTTCCCCATCAAACGTCACCAAAATGGGCATCACGAAGGTATTTGGGACAAGGGTTTTCTAGATTTCAACAAAGAGAGGTCGAGGATCTCAAACTTCTATCTCCTCCTAAAATACGTCTTCATAACAATGTCGATGTTGTTGTGTTTTTTAGATGGTCTAAACAATGACTTTTAGGATTTGATTTTGATGGCGTGATTCATTTATAGCAAGCTGTTTGCATCTCTGCTAGAACTCCCTAATCGCCAGAACTGAATTTTGCGCATGTGGCCACCATTTTAGAATAACGACTAGATCGACAAAACTCTTAAAAGTGTATGGTCCACATATGTTTTACACGGATCTCAGAGAGATCATTAAATGTACATGAAAACAATAACATAAACTTTATTTATAAAAAATCAGTCAATAGTATATATCTAAGCAAAAATATTATGTATCTACTGTTTATCCGCCAACACTTAAACTTTCAAATCATTGGATATTTTATTCAAACTTTAGATTCTAAGAAAGAGAGGTTAAGACAAGAAAAGAAAAAAAAACATATTTTGATTAGTTTTACTATTATTCTAAGTACTCTGAATCCAATCGCTCTCAATTGATATATTGGTCGTTTCACTTACGTATTCAAATTCGACTTTAGCAACAAAATGTATGGGCAAGTTCCGCCCCACCTTCACTTGGTCAGAATTCTTTTAATAATAATAATACTAAAAATTGTTATTTCTTGTTAAGCTTTTACACCACGAAAATACACATAATCTATGTTTGAGATTCTTCACATAATTGAACTTTGTCTAGCATTGTTTGTTTTGTAGCGGTGTACATCTTTTCAAAATCAGTCTGTTTCAACCAAATATACGATTTGGTATGGAATGAATAGGAATCAAAACTAAAAATAGTCTTTCACATTTTTTTCAAGAATAATTTTCATAAAACTATTGAATTTTTCACATTAATATATTGTTGAAATAAAGTATAGAAAAAAAACACAATAAAATGTGAAAATTTTAAAATAGAGAAAAAAACAATAACAATTGTCAAATGACAATCAAATAATATTATTATATGAATATAAATACAACACATAATTTATCTTTAATGATTTTATAGTTTTTAGTACACTCACACTCTCCTATAGTTGTCAAAATGAGATAGTCCATATAGGTCGGTCCATCAGGCCCGAATAATCATAGAGTTTAGCCCTTAAAATTAGAGTTCATATTTTTAAGACTTTTTTAGCCCAATTCTAACAAGCCCACTACCCATTAGAGCTAGCGCGTATGGGTTGTGAGTAGTCTATTAGACCCACGTTGCTATAAGTTTTAAAAAATTATATTAATACTTATATTGTCTTACTTCAAAATAACATATTGATTTTTCTCACCCCACTTAATTTTATCTCCATTCTATTTAATCTTTCTTTTTTAAATATTCTACATTAAAATAATCAACATTCTTTTATCATATTCTATTAGTTTCTCTTATGTTAAATATTCAAGTATTATTTTATACAATTTAGACATGTATTATATTTAAAAACACATTATAGTATTTATAAAATATAATATAGTACTTAAATATGTATTATATTTAAAAGAATATAATTTTTAATTTTATTTATAATAAATATTATGCCATTTTTTATTTTAAAAAAAACGTTCAGGCCTGGATAGCTCGAAACCCAACTGCGGTCGAACTCTGGTAGTAATTTTTGAGGTCATATTAAAAATGAGTTTTTTTTACCTGTCTCTAAAAAGCCCGAGCCCACCAGGGTCAGCCCGTTTAGGACCAGGTAGCCCATTTTTATAGCTCTACACTCTCCCAAAACAAATACTTCACAAAACCAAACGATGTGAATTTCTTGAACATGTATATTTTTAACCAACCAACAATCTCCACCTTGATTGAAAATATTACATTAGCTTTCATTGTCTTCACCGACAATCATACTCCACTATAAAGAGTATAGTCACTTAAAGCTACATCACTTCAAGAATTTTCACATCGTCATCACCAACAATCATCTATTTTATCATGAAGAATATATTTCACATGAAGGTAAATCACTCTAAGAATTTCACATGTCAAAAATCAGGATGAAAAATTTATGGTGCAACTTCCATGTTGGTAGGAAGCTCTTCAACCACCGACATAATATCATAGTACAGTTTACATCAATATCAACGATGCTCGTGTACTAACCACAACCAACGCCTTGTGTAATCTTGATCGTATCAACACATTTTTTACTTGAACTTTCTGCATGTCAAAAACAATTCTTCCATCAATTTTCTATAGTTAAAACTACACAACAAAATTTATGACTGCAACTTAACACCTCTTTCACAACACCACCGTTATTTTCTATTATGGAAGATCAGACAAAGCTGCAACCACGGAGCGTACTAAGAACTTCTATCCTCGAATCTAATCAAAAGCTTTGATATCAGTTGTTGGAAAAAAACCAAGTATTGAGAAAAAAGAGGAACATAATAACAACACAAGAATTTAACGTAAAAACTTTAAAACAGAGGGGAAAAAACCACAACCGTTGTCAAATGACAATCAAAGAATAACATTGTGAAAATTGTTATAACTTATAACACAAAATTTACCCTTAACCATCTCATGGTCCCCAATACACCCACACAGTACCCCAACGCAAATATTTAACTACATATCACAACACTCTAACACAAGAGCATAAGAGAAAAGAAAAAATCGAATACAAACTTAAAGTGTTTTTGACTGGTTCATCTTGTAATGAAGAACTTGAATACTAGATATAACCTTGAACTCCCTCTTTCTTCATAAAATTAAGTGATGTGAGACTTCTCTAACATATATATTTTCAATCAACCCCAATGGTGAGAGTAATATTTTAAGATATTTTCTATTCTAAATGAATAATTCATTTTAAGATATTTTTTATTCTAAATGAATCATTCATTGTGAAATGGAGACAGTAATATTTTTGTCTTTAAACAAAAAGCAATACTAGTGGCACAAGTTAAGAATTCCACTTATAAAAGATTTATATTGAAAAAAAATATTTAATGTCCGAATTTCTAATAATGGCCGCTAAAAACTCTTAAGCACAATCATGTGTCAGAATTTTTGTGCGGCCTAACACTAACCAACAGTTTAATTAGGATTTATATACAATATCATGTACTTCTTCTATTCTGTAATGAGTGACATATTAGAAATAAAAGAGTGTTGTAAAATGAATAACTCATTTTAATTTTCAATACGTATTTTTCCAATTTTATTCTCTAATTAATATTATTTTTATAATTCTCAATATATAATAAGGATATTTTAATCCAAATATCAATATCTCTCTTTCATTTATTCCTATTTCATAATTTATGTGAAAAAATTAATTGGATCATTTATTTATTGTAGGACAACCAATAGAGTAATAATTACTCTTGAGTTTCAACACATTAGATCATCTTTAAATTTTCCATATAGATGGTCCTAGGTAAACCTTTCTTAGAAAAAAAAACTATAAAAACGTGGAATAACGCATATGCTGTCCCACCATTTTTCCTTGGCCGTCACGGATACATTAATTTATTGACTACTAGTAATCAAAACTGATTTTAGTTCCTAAAATAAAATAGGAAATATATCGACTTTAAATTTTAGAAGGAAAAAAACTTGTTTTATATATATATATATATATATATATATATATATATATATATATATATATATATATATATATATATATATATATATATATATATATATATATATATATATATATATATATATATATATATATATATATATATATATATATTCGTGTACATATAGAAAAAATTGTTTGTGGATTGTTTTAATCTGTTATGTTTTTATAGAAGTTAATTCATACTATCCATATATTTATTTACTCCAATAACTTCACAATCAGTTATTCATTTTTGTTGTCTTCTTTTATTCATAAGTTTGAAGTATGCATGAAATGATGCGACTTTATTAAGCTTAATTGTTTGTTATCTACTCTTATCTTCTGTTTGCCAAAATTTGAAATTATAATTTATAAATTCATATATTTAAAAAAATAATTTGATAATTTATATAAATTAATTCAAATAATATATTATTTATTATTCTTTTTCAATTTATTTTCTCAAGAAACTCTACAAATATCTGCTCAACCAGTTCTTTTTCACTTGGTAGAAATTCAAAAGTAGTGATAAAAGCTCTTTCTCTAACTAATCTTCTTCTACATGTTACACATAAATCAAAAACTGATATAGAGAAAAAGAAACAAACATGAGTGTGGATCATATGAGAGAGCCATTGTTGAAGAACAATCGCCACTACTATAAGGATTGTCCAGGTTGTAAAGTTGAACAAGCAAAAGAGCTTAACAAAGGTGTTTCCATTACAAATCTTTTCATCATTTGGATGGTGGTGTTATCTTCAAGTAACTAATATTCTACTTCTTCACTATTTCATCTTTCCAATTCTAACACTTTTCAGTGCTTAGTTCTTCTCTGATCTCTCTGTTTTTTCATGTTCAGCACTTCCTGCATCATCACTCTTTCCATTCTTGTATTTCATGGTGAGTTTAATGTATATTGTAATTCTTGAAAGTGGCCTAACACATAGCACAACTCAATGTTGCAACGTTTTTTTTTTAGATTAGGGATTTTAACATCGCGAAATCTGAGGCGGATATTAGTTACTATGCTGGTTATGTAGGTATGTTTATTTTTGTTATATAGTTTCTTTGAAGTCTTTATTATGAGATGTTTTGGTTTGCTGATGATGATGATTGAAAATGTTGTAGGATCATCATTCATGCTTGGAAGAACTTTAACATCTGTATTATGGGGAATGGTTTCTGATCGATATGGTCGAAAACCTGTTATGGTTATTGGCGTTTTCTCAGTGTAAGTAGATGTTTTCTGTAGCATATGAATGTGTTGTTTTCTGGAATTAATAATGCTTGCTTGATTCAGTGTCATTTTCAACACACTATTTGGCATTAGTACGAGTTTTTGGATGGCGGTTATCACGAGATTTCTTCTCGGGTGTTTGAATGGTGCAATTGGACCAACTAAGGTACTACAAGTTGTTAATTTATTTTCATCTACTGCACCAGGTATTTGACAAAACTCCTCTGTTTAATAGGCTTATGCTACTGAAATTTTTCGAGAAGAACACCAAGCTCTTGGACTCTCAACGGTATGTCTTGTCAGCGATTATGTACTATAAAAACGGTCTGCAATTGTATTTGAAGTCGCGACGTCCGTATTTTATATGTCTTTGCAACTGCATTACAACTACAATTTAAAAATCTGTCCAATATGAGCTCTTAATGATAATGAATTCCATCATAATGATTGTAAGTGTCGTATATGGTTTTAGGTCAGTGTTGCTTGGGGAACAGGCTTAATCATTGGACCAGCATTGGGAGGTTATTTAGCTCAGGTACTATATTCTTTGCTTTCTCAAGTAGGGTTATGCATGTTACAGTTCAATCAAAAAACCAATTGAACCGAATTATAATAAAAGATCACTTGAACTGAATCAAACCGTTTCAATTTTTAAAAAACCGAACTGAACCAAAATTATTGATTTGATATATCAGTTCGGAATTCTGAACTTTATCAAACTATTAGAAGACCGTGTTTCCAAAAATGCCTATAACGCATAACATTATTCATTTAACTATCACTCTCATATTTTCTTCTTGCAGCCAACTGAGAAATACCCACATATATTTCCTAAGGGTTCCTTTTGGGATAAGTAAGTGAATTTTTCCTACATTTTAAATGTATTAAAAAAAAAGGTCTGTTTGGATTTCTAAAATGTTTTCTATTTTCATTTTTCGGTTTTCACTTATAGTTACAAATTTGTCATTTTGTTTCCATTTTGGTTCCTCTCTTCAAATATTTGTATAAACGATACTGTAAATAATTTTTTAAAACCAGAAAATGGAAACAGACAATATTCTCTAATACAAACTAAGGATTTAATTTTGCCTTAACTCTAATTTTGTGTTTCTATTGGTTTAGGTATCCTTACTCCTTGCCAAGCTTTATAATATCGGCGGTTTCATTCATAGTAGTTATTGTCTGCTTGTGGATTCCTGTATGTATCTTTACTTTTTAAGGATTTTCTTTTCAACATTTTTGTGTTGTCGTTTCATAATGTAAAGTTTCTACCTCAATAAAATACTTTAAACTGCATGCAGGAAACACTTCACAAGCACAATGGTAACAATGTGTCCACGGATGATACTGAAGCTTTAGAAAATGGAAGCAACAATGTTGACAAAGAAAAAACAGTCCAGAATAATGAAAGCCTCTTCATGAATTGGCCCTTAATGTCATCTATAATTGCTTACTGTGTCTTCTCACTTCATGACATTGCTTATCAAGAAGTAAATTTCAAATTCATGAAGTTAAAATAAATTTGATTAAATATATGGTTTTTTTGGGAATCTCATGCTTCTTTTATCTGTTTTCTCTATAGGTTTTCTCTTTGTGGTGTGTTAGTCCTCCAAGTCTAGGAGGTTTGAACTTCACAACTGATGATGTTGGTAATGTTCTTGCAATTTCAGGTGTATTTTTAGACCCTTTAACAATTTGTATTCCTATTATTACATAATAGATTTTTTTGTACTTTTACTAACTTCTGAAATTTTCAGGTCTAGCACTAGTAATCTACCAACTAACCCTATACCAATATATGGAAAAAGCTTGTGGACCTGTTGGAATCGCCAGAATCACTGGGGTAAGTTTTATCAATTTTATCTTACTGTGTCAATTACTGAAATTATGCATTTCACTTCTTCTCATATGAATTATGTTATGTTTCATAATGCAGATATTTTCAATACCACTTTTGCAAAGTTATCCCTTCATAGCAATGTTGTCAGGCATAACATTGTATATATTAATTAGTATTGCTTCCATCCTCAAAAATATTATATCTGTAAGTTCACTTTTTCGTTTGGTGAGAAAAAGTTATTTTTATTATTAGTTTAATTGATTGTATTCCTTTTGATGGACTTATAGGTGACAATTACAACAGGTTTATTCCTTGTACAAAACAGAGTAGTGGTAAGTGTGTTGCATTAATTGATTTTTGTTTTTACACAAGTTTGTATTAGTTTTTAATGAAATTGTTGATTTGAAAAACAGGAACAAGAACAAAGAGGAGCCGCTAATGGTATTTCTATGACAGCTATGTCTCTATTCAAAGCTATTGGACCGGCTGCAGGAGGTACAATGTGAGTTTTCCTCTAATTTCTTATCCAATTTTGATCTCTAATAGGGAATAATATTTCAAAAGATATTGCTATTTACTTTTCAATTTAGATATCTAGAGTTAATACAAAATTCATCTTTAATTTTCAAATTTTCTTATAATCTTGATCAACACAGGTTAACTTGGTCGCAAAAGCGTGGCGATGCTTCTTTCCTCCCAGGTATGATCCGCAACTAATTTCTGTTTTTGCTATATGTATTACTTGGTAGCTTACTATTGCACATTTAACTACAGGTACCCATATGGTGTTTTTCTTTTTGAATGTGATTGAAGGAATTGGAATACTTATGATGTTCAAACCATTCCTTGGTGAAAAGAAGAACACACTTTCAGATCAGTTACACTGATAATAGACAACTTTGCTAGAGTTATGCAGTCTCACTAGGTCATTATTGAGGTCACTGATGGCAATTAAATGCATCATTAGTCTTGTTATTTGTTTCTAAATTGCTAGTAGCAATTATTGCATAAGAATGAAAATAAAGAGGAAAACAATAGAAGGATAGTTGTAACTTGTAAGGAAATAGAGAAACTGGACTAAACTTCATGTGGATAGAACAATATACTACATAAACAACAAAGTTCTAGCTCAATACTTTTAGTATGGTACATAGCTCAAGTATGAACATGTTTTCATGTAAACAAAACAAATCACCAGATCAATAGATAGAAAAATAAGATACACAGCATGGTTTAACAAATTAGTTTCTAATATATAATCCCAGATGTAAAATACAATATTATCCTTCTAAACAACACCAACACTAATTACTACATTACAACAAATCCAAGATAAAGATCTGCATGTCGGCGTTCATGGCCATTCAACTCACCAAAATTTTGCTCTTAAAATTATGAATAGGGCAGGATAATCCAAGTCAGAGCCAAAAAATAGCAATGCCTGTGGAAAACGTGATTAATTTTGAATAAATAAAATATACCCTTCACAGTGATATTTGGAAGTAAGCATACACTAAGTTGGAGCCTCCAAGCAGAATCTGGCTCTTGAACATGAACTTCCTCATCTGTCCAATAAAGAGTATGCATATGTAAAACTTCAAGAAATTAGCGTTGATGAGATAGATCATTTATTTTAAGAAATGAGGAGAATCTCAAGTCAGTTGGTAGATAATGATAAGCAATTAAGCATAAACATTTGCATACATGTGAACATGTGTGAGATCCATGCATAATCTTAAAGCATGTTCTATAAGATTTTGATATGCTCCGTCAAAATATTTTACATGAAAACAGCAGAGAAAACATCAATTAACATGAGAAACTGCACCAGTCCAAAACAAATGCACATCCCAATAGACCATGAACAACAATAACAACTTAAGCATTTCCTCAGTATAGCACGGTGCACATGTAACACCAAAGTTTCACTTGGATCCTTCAGAACGTGAATGGATCCTCTACAATTGAAGATTTGATCTACCTTACATGGCCAAATCATCTCTAGAAAACATTATCAGCTTTTTAATAGTCACAAGTGCTACTCCTGTTGTCTGTCTATCACATTATATACTAAACTTTATATCATATTTCAACTCTCCACCACAACATTCTCATCTCTGAACAATTAGCCTACAGTTATATGCTACAATTTCCCTTTGAGCTTAATAGGTACCTTTCTATCACCAACACCCAAAACATATCTTCATTTCATCAGCTAACTTGATCATATGACCTACATCGTTTTCTTGTACATATCAAAACTACCTAACCATACAACTTTTGGTAGATCTTCATTCATCGATTTTCATCTTCAAGACAGAGCTAGCATTTCTTGCTAAACTTGCGTTGTATACACTGCACCTTACTTCTAGTATACTAGTACCAATTAAGGGTCATTTGGTAGAATTTAATTAGCGTGTCTGGTTTTGCGGTAATAAAAATTGATTTTAAATTAATTGATTTTGTAAAATTGATTCAAGATAAAAGTGAGTTGAGTATAATAGAGAAAGCAAAGGAGAAACTGATTATGAGATAGCTATTGAGTGGTTTTAGGTGGGAGAGACCAAGCTCTCAAATTCTTTCAAGGGAGAGACTAAGACTCAAATTTCTTGGATGGGAATTGTTTTATATCAATTCTATCACTTCCTCTGATGTATAACTGTGTTAAATCTGTATCAATAATATCGCTACCAGTTTCTATCACATTCATACATATTTCAAATAACTTATCACTAGCTTATACAAAAGAACTTATCGTATATGCTTAAGACTAGTTCATTTTAAAATCAGCTTGAGAAACTAATCATGAGAAGCTATAAGATTAAAAATTTATTAGAAACTTTGATGACATAAGAAGGCAACTTAAGAAGTTGAAATCAGTATGCATTCACTATAAATATCAAAGTACTTTGAAAACGTGCAATAGATCCACAAACCTCATTTAGCCATGAACAGGCTTCCAAGAACCATGTTAGCTGCGAGCCAAGTGCAACAAAATGTCAGCCAAAGAAACCACGGCACTTTGCTGATCCACACAAGCATTTCTTTTTCCTTCTTTGTGCACTACCACCCTCCGCATGACCAGCAGGGACAAATCCATAATCATATGTTAACTCTGCCATAGGAGGAATATGTTTAAGGGCGAAAAATGCAATGTGGAGAAAGGATTGATTGTTTTCCGCATATAGGACCGGCTGCCAAAACACATTGGGGGAGCAACTATGGTTCATGAATCTACCCACATTTCCCACATTTTTGGCACTTATAATGAGAGGAGATGGTATAGTATAATCTTCACTCGAAACATTTGAACTTACTTCCAGTAAGCCAGGTTCATGATTCCACTTGAATGGTTGATAAATACGGCTTGTGTCGAAAATATATTCGTCATCATCTCCTTCACCATTCTGACATACCTTAGCTCTGTCAATAACTTCTCCTGCATACTCGCAAATAAAGCTACCAGCACGAATAGGATCCAGTGTCCGAAGCCCCCAACCCCTATCCTTTGTTTTGAAAACTTCCATCTGTTGCTTTAAACCAGTCTGCGATACTCGATTTTTGCAGTTAGGATGGCACCGACACATAGGGCCACATTCATGAATCAGCGGCTTCCGACTCACTAGAATACTATTTGCAGTATACGGAAAATCACCTTCGTTTCTTTGAATGCAAGAACAGTTCAAATCACCAGGGATGCATGCTTTGTTACAATTGCAGCCAAACGAAGGCTGCACTAAACCAAAAGGCTTCGGTTTCTTGAGAGACGTGAAATAAGTGAAAAAGGCAGGACCTTTTTCATCATCAACATCATTAACAAGTGATACTGGAATACTTTCAACTCCATTGGAGAGGTCAGCAAGTATAAAACCATTCCTTGAGGCAGAACTTGCTTTCCACTTTTGAGCCAATTTCCAAGTAGCAAAAGCACTTTTTTGTCCAGGCAACCTTACCAACTTATACTTAAATATACCCCCACCAGACTTCCCTTTTTCAATCCAAGAATCTTGGATTTTATACAAACCATCATACATATAGATTTTCGCACTTTTAGTTGTAGCATCTCTCAATCCCCGTATGACTCTAACTACGTCGTGCCGTTGCGCACTTCTGTCCAAAGCAAGATTACCCCTTTGGAGCTTCTGATCAGTCACATGCTTATCTTTCTTATTGAAATTCTCACCTTGACCGCTATAAACTAAAACATCATTATCCTCTGTATCATCACCATATACTCCTGACGAAACAACACTTAATGCCACAGTATCCTCCTTAGACCCGTCCTTGATGTTCATGTAATCAATTCCACCCATCGATTGACCGTGTAAACCCACAAGACACATTTCCATTCGAAAAAAGAAAATATCGCCAACCTCAATCCCAGGCACCACTCCTGCTCTTCTCCTCAAATTCGTTTTAACCCCTTTACATGTCAAAGCATTGCTTGCTCTGAGATCCGCACGCTTGATAGCAAGCGAACTGGTCAGTTCCTTCGAATCTTCAAGCTGGCATAGCCTTCTTCGAATCGAATCAAATGTCATGAGCACATGATTAACAGATTCACAATCACCGTCGTCATTTCGAGATGGGTTAACACCAACATTAGAACTTTGACCATCACCGGCCGCCTCCCGAGTTTTCTTATTCTTCTTCCTTTTAAGAAACTCTTTACAATTCTGTATATTCTCTGTACCTCGCTTCCGTGTACCATCAACACATTCGTCACCGTTCAACCCTTCTGAAAACGAATTACCACCCCCGTCCCCTTGCGGATTCAGTTCTTCGTCAAGCGAACTCTTGTAGAACCTTATTGGAGTCACTTTAGCAGCAACAGGAGTTTCTCGAGTCGTTTCTTTCACAGACACAGGAACTTGTTCAGCTCCTTTTGGAAGAGGAATTTCTTGGGGTTTCTGAAATGAATAAAATGGAGGAAACACAGATGGATATTTGGCAGGAAAACAAGATTGAATATTTTTCGGCAATACAGGAGCTAAACTACGCAAAGGTTTCACTTCTACAATCCTAGATTTATCAACTGAATCTGAAGCATGAAAGGTATTGTTCTCTTCCATCAAAATACCTAAAAAAATCAACTTTTTAGTATGAAATTTCACAAATTTGGCTCAAATTATTCTGAAGAGTAACAGAGATGAAATTGTGGTAGAGGGATAACAGTGATTCTCAAGAGTAACGATTTCAATTGGTTTTTCCAGTTTTCCACCAGACTTATTATTATTATTTTCTTCATCCAAGACTTGTTATTATTAATCATTTTTCTTCCATTTTTATTTTGATATTTTTATTCGCTTATTTATCTTTTACTTTTATTTATTTATAAAAGAAAAATGACTTTCTAGATTCTCCAATAAACATTTCTATAGAAATGTGAAAACAATTACTACTTTTTATTTTGTGAAAAATCATTAGTATTTATTCCACTTTTTTAAAAAAACAATTATTTAGATTATTTTTTCTAAAAAATAAATATATTTATTAACTTTCCAAAACATATTAAAAGGACAAATGTGAAGAAAAATTATAAAAGGCATTAACGATTTAAAACAAATTGTTTTTTTTTTTGCAATGTAGAATAATTATATTCAGGAGTTGTTATTTAATAAAATGATGTCAAATAAAAATTTGCAAATATATTTTAAATATTAACGATATTATTGAATTAGTTAATTGATTGCAAGTATAAAATATTTTAGTCTATTGATGTGTATTAATTAAATCTTTATATAAAAAAAGGCATATTTGATTAAAAAACTAATTTTAATTATTTAAAATGATAGTGGACTTATTTGACTTTAGTTAATTTAAAGTTAAAAAAAAGTTTTATAGATAAAAATAGATAAAATTGTTTCATGCTAAAAAGAATAACAAAACATCGTGTAAAATAAACAAAAAGTACGATAAAACATCGTGACTAGAAAGAACATGTCCAAAACATAGAAACAGCCAAGATAAAATCAGACAATAAGAAGAATTATTAACTAATTTAAATATTAATATTTAATAAGATTAATTAATAATTTAATTAATTAATATTAAATAAATATTTAATTAATTAATAATTAAAACATATATTTGTCATTTTTTTAAGTATTATTCAAATTTTAAAAAACTTAAATAATCCAAACAAAAAAATTAGAACCTATCGTGACTATCTGTATACGTTTTTCTACACATGAACCTATTGTGACTCCTCACTAATTAAAAGCTCCTTTTAAAATACTTTTAAAAGTTTTTCTATACATAAAACTAAGCATAAACAAGTTTTTCTACTAATAATTAAAATTACATGAAACTTTAACAATAAAACAAAATGGATAAAAAAAAAGTTGGTATATTTAGGGGTGAAAATAGGTTAGACCGCCAATATAAACCTATTACCTAGCTTAGGCGGTCTATATAGACCTATTATCTAGCTTATTTATAGTCTGATCTGACTTATTTAATGAGTCCCGATAGACTGGTCTATTTAGTAGTACATGATACATATTTAAATATAAATATTCTAAACATAAAAAAGTAATAATTAATAAAATTATAAATAAAGAAGAGTCTAAAAAAATGAAATCTTGTTTGGTCTAATAATAAAAATTTCAAAATAATAAAAGTAATAATTAATGAAATTGTAACTAACCAAGAGTCACTATACAAAGGAAATGTATGATTGGTCTTGTGAAAAGTTAGAAAGAAATATGAGTTAAACAAAGAAGAAAACTTATAAAATATCTCCATTCCGCCAGTCCGTCTATACACCATTTTTAGCAGATTTGAGTTTTTTCTTGTTAGGTTATTGTTTTTGGCACCCATAAATTGTTATCTTTGAGATACTTCAGTTTTTGATAACTTTGTCATTATGTTTGGTTGGAACTTGTAATTTTGTAAGGGACCAATCTTGTATTGTTTCGGTAAGAATCACTATGAAAAAAATGGCCTTAAATGAAGTATATGCAAATTTTGAACTAATTCAAAACACTGGAATCCTTAACAAATCTCTTAAATTATGTTGAATTTTTTTATAGATTGTTATGATATTTTGAGTTTTCTTCTATTTCATGATGAAGCATATGGGTGTGATATTTCACAATCTGTGTAATTTTGTTCTGATTGAGCGTTCGACAGCTTCTACAACACGGTTGAATATTTGAGTTTGGTTAGGAATAAAACTTACAATGCAAATAGTGTTCACAATATAAAGTATGGAAGTTTGAGAAGGTTACTATTGGAGAAGGTTACAAAGTAGGAACATAATTAAAAACATTGTGTTAATTATATCACAAGTGTTGTCGATGAACAAAGGAGGAACATAATTTGAACTTAATAGAATCATGGAAGATTCAGCTAGATGGATTTTGCACCTAATCATAATGTGATATCTAATTTCATGAATTAACTTGTATTGTCTTTTCCCCCAACATTAAGGATGTTGTTAGTTACCTCAATCTGCATTATATTTTAAATAATTCAGGATCACAAGCGTTGAGTCTGGGTGAAGAATCAACCACGGGGTGTGTACTAGGGGTAAAACACCTTGATAAATTGATTTAATATCGCGATTTTTGGCTCATTATGTGTATTTTTGTCTGTGTATTATCGAGTCTTTATTGTTATTTTTTCGCACTTTTCCTTCGTTTTGGTTGTTTTCAAGAATCGGTGAAAATCGTGGAAGAATCAGGAAATCGAAGCCTTTGGAGAAGATCTGCACAAAAAAAGTAGCAGATTTTAGTGATTCTGTTGAGATGGTGTTCGCTATCTCTTGATGGCGTTCGCCATCACTTATTGGTCGCCTTCAGCATTGAAGCAAGCATGGCGTTCGCCATGGCCCTTACGGCGATCGCCGTACAATCGCAGCAACAGTTTTTAATTTTGAAGCAGTTATCAGCGGTTCTACTTCCCTCCACTACTTCATTTCGAATGCGCTGGTGTTTTCAGTTTGAATTCTAGGCATTCTTAGACAGTTTTAAAAACAGTAATTACTCACATCTACTTCCCTCCACTACTTCATTTCGAATGCGCTGGTGTTTTTAGTTTGAATTCTATGCATTCTTAGACAGTTTTAAAAACAGTAATTACTCACATCGAAGAATTACTGCAAATATGTATTTTCCATTGTGTACCAAATATTTTGAAGTTAATTGAAACTCGCTGCCATTTTCTTTCAATTGCCAATTTCTACAGTTTTTTTTATTTTACTTTGAATTGCACAGTTATTACTAATTCTGCCTTAAATTGTTTTAGTATGTTAGTAAAATTAAATTGATGTTTTAGTATCTTAAAAGTAATGATAATTATGTTTGGCTAAATCCTATTGAGTCCATCGTTGAGGATCGTCGTTACTAGCGGGACTCGGTAGTGAACTTAGTGCGAAATTGCGGTTTTTAAGTCGTTTCGGTTGTAGTTTCTAGCCGTAATTTAGGCAGCCTTGTCGCTAGAGCGAGAAGTTGCTTACCATTGCTTTGTCACGAGAATTAGAAGCATATTAAGGTTTGAGCCAAGATCTGCGAGAGCGTGAGGAGCGAGCCAGATAGTAGAAACTAGGCATACCATCTAAAAACAGCGAGAGTGCTTTAGACGTCGTTTAGTATATTTCGAACTTCCAAAAAGTGTTCTTAATTACCGAGCGAGCGAGAGGCGGAGTCTTTGAGTCAGTGTATCCTACGAAATAGGCATCTGATCGTAATTAGTATCTGTTTCCTGCAAGTTCCTAGGTGCGCGGATCTCTTGTCGGACTCGTTTTATTATTTAGTTCAGTTTCTAGTAACTCAGTCCCGTTTCTAGTTTTGATCCGTTGTTAACCATTAGCCTTAACTTTGCACATCAATCATAGACCGCAATAGTTTGATTATCTGTCCCGGTGGGTTCGACAATGTAACACCCCAAATCTAAACTTGCGGATAACAAGAAAAACAACAATTCATATAGCAAACAAAGCACAGCAGCGCAAACATTGACTGCATGACGGTCGTCATGAGCCTGTGACGGTCGTCACACGGACAAAATTCCTCATATCAGAGATGTTACACTTCAACCTAACAGACAACAATCATTATGCAACAACTTGCAAATATCATACGTAGCACGAAATTGGATGACCAATCACCAATGTATTACTTAACCATTTAATCATAAAACAACTCGTCATTACTTCCGGTGGAAGTTCGATAAAGTATACAACATGTTCTCTTAAAACAATTTAATAAAAACATCGTAACAAGTTCAATCAACAATAACATCGACTAAAATAATAACAGCAATCGTCCATCCCCCCAAGAGTGCTACGTATCAGAGCGACCAACGACACCTTAACGGGAACTACGCTCTATTCCTGACTACCTGCAAATTACCACCAGAGGAGGTAACATACAACGGAAAAGGGTGAGATATCAATAATATAACATAAAGCATGATAGAAAACATGTCGGAAACTCATCACAACATTATAGGTTTCGAAATCATAAACATCATCGACAACAACTGCGAGTAATCCACATCTCACATAAACAACATTAACATACAACTAGTGTAATTATGCGACTTCATGCGACTCAACAATGCGACTCGACTGTGCACATGCATGTGGTACCATTTTGGGAGACAACTCTCCACAATAATTCGGGATAGGAGCCAACACCCCAAAACCCATTTAGGAGCCAACACTCCAAAACTCGGGACAGGGCCAACACCCCAAACCCATCTAGGAGCTAACACTCCAAATAACGCCAATACAGGCACAACCGTCGCCAATCCAGGCCAAATGCTATGCCATGAAATGCATCTATTATGGACTACAACACAACCATAACAACCATATAACAAGGCATTACGCCTACAACCAGAATGTCCATAACTGAGCATCATAACATCATACCACTCATACAACCATCACTTTCTACTCGTTCACATACGGGAACAATAGCAACATAAGTTCAACATTTACGATTGTTCATGTAAAGGAACATTACAACATCGTACCAACAAATAGGAACTCAAAGTGTTCATACAAAACGGCTATTCCTATATAGGTATAACATCAACATCAGTTCAACAATTAAGGATTCAG